ATTAAGGATGTTCAGCGAAATATATCGAAATTCCCTGATTTAGAAAGAAAATCAAAGTTTGTAGTCCCAAAGTAGATAGAAATAAATTAACAATTTTTTCCTTTCACACGACCTCTTACAGGATATAACTTCAAACTCCTGATTCGTTTACTAGAATACTTTAAAAATATAAATAAATAAATAAAAATAGAAGGTAGTATCCCAAAGGTAGTATTTCTATGCTGCATCGAATGTCTACAGAGAAACTCGGAGTATCAGAGCAAGAAAAATCATTAAAAAAACATACATTTTCTATAAAGACCCACGATTTTTCATAACCATTTCTGAGGAGCAGGATATGAAAAAAATGAATTGCAATTACAAATAGTAAATGAAAAATCATTTGAAAAAAATTGAATTTTCTATGAAGACCTACGACGTTTCATAAACATTTTTGAGGATCAAGTAGATAAAGAAAATAAGTAGTAATGACAGATAGTAAAAACCTCTTTGATTCTGCTTGATTCAGTGGGTCTTGCAACGAGTGCAACACCATTACAAACAACAGCAATATCCTCAACAAAGGCACAATAGGGTGACTCTTCATCCGCCGGCATTTCCACAAAATCGATGTCAAAATCACGTAATAATTGTGCTAATGCTGCATGTTGATCTCTAGCATCATCAAGTAAGACCTCGCCCTTCGTTTGAATGGAATTTGGAATTCTGCACAGTACAGCGTGTGTATAACGATGAAGCGGCATTATCAATGGATCATGCACACTGTTATTACTTGTTTCAAATTCGCTCAGCACTTTTTCCCTCGATTTAACGAGAAAATAGCCAGTCTGATTGATTCACCGAAAGAGGATGATGTCAAGGTACTCGTGATCTGCTGAGAACTGATCAACATCAATGAGATCAAATAAATAGACGAGATGAAAGACGCGTAGACGCGTCGAAATATCCATACATATGCACCGATATGTATGTATGTACAATTCATCAATTACTGGAATTACTGGCGGCGGAGGCAAAGAGGATTGACTGAAGTAGAGGCTCAGTTCTGGGGGTTTGAGTGACCCCAGCGGCATCGTTGTACTGCACCCCAAGAGAGGGAGGGCGCCACACGCAACGCTGGGGTATCTGTCGTTAGCAGACTCAGCGACTTT